AAGAAACAACAAACATGACATAACCCCTCACTCCCTTATTTGCTCCTACATACTGTCCATTTCACCTTTATCCAACCAAGGCCCCCACCTAGCTATTAAAGACACTGCTGCTTTCTGGTATAAACAGATTCCAGGAGGAGTCCCTCAGTTTGACAACATTCAGATTTATATAGCTCTTTCACCACGTGACCATAGTCCCTTAGCCCAAGGGTGTAGTTTTGATTTGAACTTTGGTGGGGACATTGAAGGTGAGCGTGCGAGCTGAAAAATTTGGCACTTGTTTACAGAATCAAATATCGCATAAATACAGTTTTAAGCTGTACAGTCAGATCAGATTATCTTGATGGCGGGTTCTTTGAATAGGCATGTTTCACTGGTCACGTGGCACTGTGGTGGCAAAATTATTATTCAATGAACAATTCAAAGAAAAGTCTTCACACGTCGGCTGTCTTTCTTGAGTGTTAATAAGCATTCATGAATGGAGTCTCACAAACAGTACAAACCGCATGAAAAAATGTGACTTCTTGTGAAACAAACTGTAGTTTTGACAGGCTGGCTTTGTGGCCCTGCTCAGCCAAATGAGTCAGCAAGGCAATGGTGTCTTTAACACAACCTTGTCTGGTTGCGCTCGCAATCAAAAGGTCATCCACGTACTGCAACAAAGCACTACCTTCGGGCAGCACAAGGGTCTCCAAACTGTCACTCAAAGCAGAATTATAGATCGTTGGGGACTCCGAGAAACCTTGGCATAAACGCGAGAAAGTCCACATTTTCCCCTCAAAACAAAATGCAAACCAGAATTGACTGTCCGGGTGCACTGGAACACTGAAGAATGCATTTGACAGATCAACTACTGAAAACCACCTGCTATCAGAACGGAACAGACAGAGTGGTAAACTGTCCTTAATTTTTCGTTTTCACTTAAAAGTAAAAGAATTTCGTTCCACAAATTTGGCTTATTTCCTGCTAAAGAAAAAAAACCTGAGAATTTCATTGTGATGGGATCTGGTCAGAGCAAGACCTCAGAGAGGAGAATTGAGCCTGATTATGGCGCTCCCAACGTGAGGTTCATGAAGATCAATTATGGGAAGGAGAGCGTGGCTCAGTTAGATCTGTGGGTATATAAACAGTGTGTTATTTTATCAGTCAACAGTCTCTGAAGCAGTCCTGCCAGGTTTTGGCACAAACAGAGCAGGAGAGGAAGAGTCACAGGTGAGGCCCAGGCTTATAACTTACAAGTAGATATTACTATACTAGTATATAAACAAGTGGTGACTAGCATCATCAGTGTGTACATCTGTGTAATTCTATCTAAATACATCTATGTATTTCCACATGTAGTTAGTTGATAGAGTGGCTAATTGTAGCCTTTACTGTTGTGTTTATCAAAGGAAACTGCTCCAGATGGAGAAGTCAGCAACGTAGAGTATCAGTGAGATTGACTTCAGTGAACATTGTCAGCCATTCTATTAACTACTTTAACTACACGTGGAAATACATAGATGTATTTAGAATTACATAGATGTAGATCTACACACTCATGATGCTAGTCACCATTTGTTTATATACTAGTATAGTAATATCTACATTTTCTTGTAACTTATAAGCCTGGGCCTCACTTGTCACTTTTCCTCTCCTGCTTTGTTTGTGCCAATACCTGGCAGGAGTGCTTCTGAGACTGTTGACTGATAAAATAACACACTGATGCATGCCATGTGACCAGTGAAACGTGCCGATTCAAAATTCCCATTTCAAACAGACGGTGATGAACCAACCAGTACATCATCAGATCAACATTTGTCGCAAGACTAAATCTAACTACTAAGTACTATCACCAAGTCATTATTATTCTAGCTCACCTGTGTCCCTGTTCCTGCCTCTCCACCTTCCTCTCCTCTACCTGCACTAGTGCCTGGCACTGCTTCTGTCACCTGCATGTTGATTCATGGCATATCAACAGTGAGGAAAAACGTGTAGCCAGACAATAGCTTAGTTAAGTAGGCTATTATTATTAGCCCATGATTATTGTTGACTCTGGCAATTGAGAAAACATTTTCATTAAAGTCGACTTTCTCTTCTGAAATAGTTCCTTATGTCCACATTTCTTCTTCTGGCTGCTATTTGGGCTGCCATCTGGATTAAACCTACACACAGGCTGTACTAGTTAGCCTACTACGCTGGCTAGGCTATTTCCATAACAACAAAACGGAGGAAACTTTTTAGTCCGAGTCCAACTCGAAAAGAGGGATCCAATGACGTCCACCTCTTGACGTTGGATCAAGTGGGCTACTTATGGCTGGAAAGCTACATCAAGCAGAATAAACTAGCTAGTACTAATTTAAACTGGCGGCTAATTAATGACGAGCATAATTAAAACGTTCTGAGTATATCTGAGGTGATGATAGGATTATATTAATATATAGAGATAGGATAAGTAGTTGTTTTGATGAATAACTTTAGTATATTGATGTAATGAGCGAAGATAGATAACTTACGCTAACTACTGTAGCAGCTCAACTCTGCCTGCCTCTGAGGAACAGTGCGTGCTGCACAGAGTTCCAGCTCCCAGGAAAGTGGAGGACATCTCAGCCAATGAAAATGTAGTTTTTCATTCAAGGGCGGGCTTTGAGCTAAACTTGCTTGGATTGGATGGGGAATCTTGTCACAAGCATTTTAGCGGTATATGAGGCGTGACTAGTGGTTAACCTTTTGTGTACCAAATTATTGGTGGGGACATTTCAGCACTTGCTGGGTATTGGTGTGGACACGACCCCACCGTCCCCACTAAAAATTACGCCAGTGCTTAGACTCACTCTATCAATGCTTAGAACAAGTCAACAGCTGGATGCAATCAGATCTCTTTTAAATAAATAAAGACAGAAAAGAAATCATTGTTTTTGGCAACAAGGAGGAAAGAATGAATGTTACTGCAGTTTCTGATTCCAGAGCTATAAAGACAAAAACCCCAGTCAGGAAACTTGGTGTTTATTTAGACTCAGATCTGAGCTTCAGCAGTGTCATCAAGGCAAGAACTGAATCAGCATTTTATCATCTTTAAAAAAGAGCAAGATTTGGAGTAACTCATTCATGTCATAATATCCAGCAGGGTGGACCAATGTAACAGTGTCCTTTCTGA